CTCACCTGCCTGCATTTGGCCCATATCCCTCCAAACCTTTCTCATTCATGTAATTTTCCAAACATCTTTTAAACCTTGTAACTGTACCTGTATCCACCACTTCCTCTCGCTGTTCATTCCACGCACCAACCACTCTCTGTATAAAAAAGTTGCCCCTCATGTCTATCTAAATCTTTCTCCTCTCACCTTAAAAATATGCCCCTCCCCAGATTTGAACTGTCCCACCTCAGATAAAAGATTTTTGCTATTCACCCTACTTATGCCGATCATGATTTTATAAATCTCTATAAGATCACCCCTCAACCTCCTAAGCTCCAGTGATAAAAGTCTTAACCAATCCAGTCAATTTTTATAACTCAAACCCTCCATTCCCAGCAACAGCTTGATAAATGTTTTCTGAACCCTTTCCAGTTTAATAATATCCTTCCTATAACAGGGCAACTGGAACTGCACACAATATTCCAGAAAAGGCCTCACCAATGTTCTGTACAACTTCAACTCTGTACAATATCGCAACTCCGAGACTGAGCAATGAAGGCAAGCATGCTAAACACCTTCTTAACCACCCGGCCTACCTGTGATGCAAATTTCAAAGAATTATGTTACTTGAACCGTTATGTCTCTCTTTCCTACAACACTACCCAGGATCCTACCATTAATTGTATTAATTCTGCTCTTGTTTGTTTTACCAAAATGCAATACCTTGCATTTATCCAAATTAAACTCCATCTGTCACTCCTCAGCCCATTGACCAAATTGAGCAAGGTCTCTTTACAATCTTAGATAAGCTTCTTCACTTTCCACTATACTACTAATTTTGGTGTCATCCACAAAGTTACTAATCATTCCTCCTAAATTCTCATCCAAATCATTTATATAACTGACAAACAAAAGTGGACCCAGTACTGATCCATCTGTTAAAGTTTTGTCCAATCAGTGCATGTACCCATGTGTTTTTGTAACTATATACTTCTGTGAACTGTGCATATTATGCTACTAATCTTTGTAAATGACTCTCTGTTGCATTATCAATGTCATTAATAAATGCAATGAAATAGCTGAGATGACAGCAAAAATCAATGATTCACCTTCATCCAGTTTTAGTGCTTGCTCATTTTCCCCACTATCATTCTTTTACGGCTGAACCATTCAATATTTTGCCTTCAATTCCACAAACTGTCACCTTAGTTATTAAACATCCGTTTCTTGATGCAAACTTTTAGTCACTTCTTCCTAATCTTTCTCTAGCTTGTACAGCATCTGATTATGTGAATATACAAATATAGGGACAGGAAAAGGCCACTAAGTATTGTGGGTTTATTCTGTAATTCAATGACATCACAGCTGATTTGTGGTCTAACAACTTCCATCAGTTGCGTGGTAAATTATGTTTAATTTACAAAGAATGAAGTTATGTTAAAGGAGAAGTTACAAAAATGTGAAATTTTATTGGTAATTTCTTCTTTGGCTGTTGTTTGGTAAATTTGATTCCTTTGGTTTATAATTCCCTCGTGGGCATCATAATGATATTAACACATTATCATAAGTAAAAGAGTTATTCATGGAGAAGATATTGTGCATCATGATTGTGTGGATGTAGTGGCTGGGGAAGCTGAAGCATTCCTCTCAGGCCTGAATGGTTGAGGCTGGGGCAGGAGTGGTTCTTCTGGTCCAGAAAGACTTTGGTAGAAAAATAAACTTTCAAAAACTGACCTCAGCCACTTCTAGCCTGTCAGAATCTCCCACCCTAGTTCAGCAGATATGGCTGCAAATTTTGAATATGAATTATGCCTGCCTGTTGTGGGATATATTAGCATTTTGAAAGTTGGGGGAGTTGTAACAGCACTGATCCAAACCTGATAAGTCAAATTGGCCTAATCATAAATCCGGCTGTATATCATTTTCAGTGGGCATGGTGTGATAAGGTTTAAAATTGAGGCACTGTAGTAATTGGGACCAGGTTGACTTCGTCAACTACGAAGTTCTTGATTGAGGTTGTTAATCTGGGCCAATCAGGAGAGCCATGGCTGCCCAATATAACCAGGAGATGAGAATCTTTTCAGAAAAAAATTAAACCAGGAATTTAGAATCTCCTCAGTTGAACACTGATTCCGAGCTGGCTGGTAAATAAAGGGTGAGTTGGTGACAGGACACAGCCTCTGTGCTGTTATTTCAGTGGTGATGGCAGAAAACAGGATGTGCCTGAAGAACATTCACTTGCAGCTGTCATTAAAAAAAAAGAAAAAAAAATAACTAGAAAATGAGAATCTCCTCAAAAGAAAACTAGAAGATTAGAATCTCCTCAGTTGAGCATTGACTCTAAGCTGGCTGGCTACAGCCAGTGTACTGTGCATAGTAAATAAAGGGTGACTTGGTGATGTGTGGTTATTTCAGGTGCATTATGCAATGCCCACACAGGGTGTTTCTCTAAATGGGATGCAGCTGGTAATAAAGTCTCAATGTCAGAAAACAGTCATGGTGGGTTAAAAGTATTTAACGTAAGCCTTGACAGGCTTGTGAAAGTCACAAATATATCTTGAATATAATGAATGTAAAGCTTTAAAAAGGAGAGCTGTTAATATTAATGAAATCAGAAGTCACACAACACCAGGTTGTAGTCAAGACAGGTTTATTTGAAATGACAAGCTTTTGGAGCGCTGCTCCTTTGTCAGTGAAGTCACTTCACTTGATGAAGGAGAAGCGCTCTGAAAGCTTGTGATTTCAAATAAACCTTTTGGAATATATGCTGGTGTTGTGTGAGTTCTGACTTTGTCCACCCAGTCCAACACCAGCACTTCCACATCATGGATATTATTTATGAAATTATATTAAACCTATTAGAATTGCCTATCCATCAGTTTTAAAAAAAGTAATTTGTTATTTATTTGACAGAAAAGTAAAGCAGTTTGTTTAGACAAAATAAAATGTGCCTCATTATAAAATACACAAATTACATTCGTTTCCAACTAGTTAGTCATAAACCCATTAGATCTATTAAACTGAACTGTGCTCTGTTTGACTGGAAGCAAGGATTGTCTCTTGATATCAAACTGTTAATTAATCAAATTTCAAAATGTGAAAACTGAAGAGCAGTAATTAATTTCAATCACAATGTCCTGACAAACAAATGCAATAAGTTAGATACATATTTAACAAGGACCTATACTTTAATTAAGGCACAAGATTTGAGCATTGCCCTGAGGTCATTCAGGTGCACTACTTTAATTTTAACTTACTTTGAAGGAAATAGATTCCAGGGCTACTTTCGTTATATTCATCTTCAATTTTCTAATAAAAATTAGGAAATTACTTATTAACCATAAGTGGGTCTGGAGCAGAGTGTGCAGGAGAGTCGAGTTTTATTTTTGGGACTTCTTTTTGAACTTGAAGCAAGTAATTATGGCTCAAAAGATATATTTCAATCACCAATGTCACGCTTTAAAAGCTGGATTTCTGATTTTATTTCCTCCCCATTAACAGCCTTTGTCCAGAAAATATACTATGTTTCAAATGCATTTTTTTTATGTTTGGTGATCTTATTAAAATGTGCCTAACAATAAATCTACTTTGTGCCATCTTCAAGTAAAGCTTTGTCTATTTTTGAATTCAGTCAACATTATTGTAAGAGGAAAGGTCAACGTTGGCAGTGGACAAACTTGCAAACAGACATGAAATGTCTCAGGGTGGTATACACCTGGTCCCATTTCACGTTTGAAAATTTCTAAGGATATTCTGTACTCAAAATGGTTTTGAACAACATATACCTGTGATAAAAGAGGCAAACAAGAAACATGTGTGTGCAATGAGGCTGAGTACAAAGTAAATGCAGAGGTGGACAAGTGCAAGTGTTTGTACTATCAGCTATTGTGCTGGTTTACTATTGCTGCTCTAGCTGTTGAAAGTTGACTGAAGACAGTATTATGTAAGTTCATAATATATTGTTATCATTTCAGAACTTGGGTTCTAAAGCAAAGGAGAAATGGATTTTAGTTTTTCAGTTCTGGGAAGATCTGACGTGTGTTTTGTTTTTATGGGTCAGAAAGTCATTTGGTTCAAAGCAGCGTATACAAGAAGTCACATGCTTTTAGAGAAATGACCAGCAAGACACCTGGTGAAATAATTACTAAGGTATTTGTTGACTTCAGTTTTATGGCCTCTGGAGAGAGCAAGAGAGGACCAGAAGTAGGTTCACGCAGAAAGAAGATGTCCATAACAGCAGAGATAATCTTAATAGCAATCTCTAAGGAGTCATGATTGTGGAGAAGTGTTTAGTACCTTAGAAGTCAGTTAGATAAAAACTCAGAACCAGAATGCTATGGACATGTCAGAAATGAAGATATCCTACAAGGTTGTTGAAGAGATTAATTTAGGGAAACCATGTTCAGTATCAGTGAGCTGAGTTAACAGTTTGTTTTAATAAGCCTTAGGAAGACACATCACCTGAATGCACAGAAATTTGCCAGATGGAAAAGGATTAAAGCTATGCCAGCAGAGATGAAAAAAAAAATTAGCATAGAGATAAGTATGACCATTCACTGGGTTTTATTTATATTCACTTGTGGGATTTGGACAGTGCTCTCTGAGCCAGCATTTATTGTTTTGAGTGTTTGTAAGGGTGTAGCTGAGATAAAAGGTATGAATCTTTCTGCCCGATATTTGTAATTAGATTGTCCCAATATGTTTGGTGTAATGTAGTTTGGGTTTTTATTTTGTTTAATAAACCTTTAGGGTCTTTTGTTTAGAAATACATTGGGTAACCATCAACTGGAATCCTAACAACAGTGGAGAGCAGGATGTAGCCACATGTTTGAAACCTGGCCACTGCAGGTGCAGATCTTTGTAGTAGTAGCAAATTTTCAAACAATGACTTTGAAGGCCGAAATGGAGAAGGGTTCCATGTGAACAGCAGTTGAATGTGGGTCAGTGGTCCTAAGAGGTATTCATGGAAAATTAATAAGATTTTAATAAGATTATTGTCAAAATTATCAAGGGTCAGTTTGTACTTTTTGTAGGAAGGCACAGTACATACAGTTTCTAACAGATGACATCTCAAAGACAGTTCACATTCTTTTCTGGTCTCTTGGTATGGAGCATCATCTATTGTATCAATATGGCCAACATGATGCCACGTGAGCAACCAATGAGACTGGAAAGGCTTCCATTTCCAAATGTTCAGCTGGTCTATGAATGTATTTGCTCACATTCCTTCAATGACTATTTCATTCTCTGGTGATCCAATGTTGCAGCTTTTCATATCCCTGCAAAAAAAAAACCACTAATGAATTCCAAAAGGAAAAGGCTAATACCTGAAGGGATGGCTACTCATGACCCTGAGATGGAGGTACAGGGGAATTGCAATTGATAATATCTGCTCGCAATCACCACTATTGAGCAGGCCATTGGGCTTCTAAAGGTGTGGCTCCGGTGCCTCGACAATTCCAGAGGTGCCCTGCAGTACACTCCCACATTGGGAAGTTTGCCACACACTTGATAACAGAACCCTCCAGGGGCAGAATGGTGGCTCAGTGGTTAGCACTGCTGCCTCACAGCGCGAGGGTTCGGGTTTGATTCCAGCCTTGGGCGATTGTCTATGCGGAGTTTACACATTATCCCCAGGTCTGCATGGATTTCCTCCAGGTACTCCAATTTTCTCCCACAGTCCAAAGATGTGCAGGCTAGGTGGGTTGGCCATGCTACATTGCCCATAGTGTCCACGGATGTGTAGATTAGGTGGACTAACCATGGGAATTATAGGGATAGGGTAAGGGGGAGATGAGTCTGGGTGGCATGCTCTCCAGAGAGTCATTGTGGACTTGTTGGGCTGAATGGCCTGTTCCCACAAGGTAGGGATTCATGATTCTAAGAGAGTTGAAATACTTGATTGACACAGTTCATCAAAGGCAGAGGAGATGAAGCAGGATGAGAGGGGGAAGATACAGAACAGAATGTTCCCCAAGCAATGGAGTGAAATGGCCAGGGCAGATTCAGGAATCCAAACTCTCCTAAGATAGCATGAACACCGGAGTACATCTGATCCAGGCATGTTTCACAGAAGAGCTACATATCCTGCAGGACAGCATCCACTGTGTATCATTTCAATCTGCCTGAGAGAACACATCTATTGAAAACAAAACATTGTCAAGTTTCCTTCTTACCAATAAAACATGGCACCTATCTATTCAGTGATGTCAGTGCCCCTGTTTACCACTTCTTCCCTCTTTTGCAATCAAACCATTAAAAAGTGGCAACTCACACAAACAGAAACATTCAATGTTTCTACTGTTATTAATAAATTACAAAGTGCACATTCATAAATGTTGTAAGTCTCAGTATTCTGATCAATGTGGTGTCCATTGCTTTCAGCAATTTCAATGGGACTCGAATGATGTGGAGACAGCTGGGTGGTATGTGTCTTCAACTTGAAAATACCAATGGGGGCATTCCTCAGAGGCTGCTGGAGCAAAGTCAATGCAGAGCATATCCTGGAATTCATATACCCCTTGTGCATTGATGAACCCTTGTTCAGAAGGTCCAATAAATTAAGTGATGATGAGGACCCGGGCCTGTGAGGAATGATTCCCTCATCCACCTTGGTGGCAGCCTCCTTGGTTGGAGCTTGTGAATACTGAAGGAGACCACTAGCTGGAGTGCAACTACCACCAATATTGCTGACTGTTGAATGCTACAGAGTTGCATGCATTCTGTAGTACTTTGCGGGGCTGTTTCCGAATTCACTCAAAGTCCTGCCATATATAACTGTCAATGAATTTTGTGACAGTCTCAATAGAAGAGCTTAGACTTTCAAAACCATGAGAAAATAAAGTGTATGAGTTGAATGGGCTTCTCCATTCTCAGCACATGACCCCAATCTGCCCAGTGGAATTCTGACATGTTGGCACCCACTTAATGTTGTTGGTCAAAGTAGAAACATCATTCCTGTGACAGCCGATCTGCATCTAGCTGACCATAGCTATGTCTATCGTTCATACTCTGAGGTACACTGCCCACATTCGTCTTTCTCACCTCCTCTTGCTTCTATTTTCCATCCACTTCTTTTATGGGATATGGCTGTTCCAGGCAGGGCCAACATTTGTTGTGTGTCTCTATTTAACCTTAAACTGTGAGGCTTGCTGGTTCATTTCAGAAAGCAGTAAAGAGTGAACTACACTGTTATGTGTCTGAAGTTATATGTATGTGCCAGACAAGGTTTAGAAAATTCTGAAAAAGCTTTAATGAATGAGGTGGACTTTTATGACACTCAGTTACAGTTTCATGGTCATTGCTTATGCTACTTTTCAATTACACATTTAATTAATTAACTTAATTTAAATTCCACTAACTGCGAGGATAGGATTTGAACCTGTGTCATTAGTGCATTGACCTGGGCTTCTGGATCCCTAATCCAGTAATGTTATGACTATCTTTCTCTCATGGATAGCCACCTTGATATGGTGGAGATGCCTGTGTACTCCAGTGTTCCCTTGGGGGATATCTTTGGGAGCTCTTTGCTCCTAGTAAGTCTACCACAATTATTACTCACCCCATCAAACATAAAATGCCCTCTAGTGTGAGTATTTAATATGGCTTAGATAGAAAATTCTTGGCCTTCAGTAACCTCTGTGTCAAAGCCAAAATGACCACCATAGACACATGATCTAGAGTTTGAAGGAGAAAAAAGAGGAGTATTCAGTCTTGTGTTCAGCAGTACAAGCGACCTTTACTCGTGCTCTTTTACCACATATGCGGGAGAGGCCAGAGACAGCCCTGAATTTGGCTTTCATGTGGATCTCAGTTACCCTCTTAATCATAGCTCAGACTGGAGGAGAGCCAATGACAGGCAAACTTTATCCAGCTGAATACAACATTTTTATAATTTTCGCATCACAATAATTACATGCAACGTTGATGTCTTTGTAGGCACTTCTCCTTAAGCTAGGCATCCAATCCAATAAAAACTGATCAATGATGGACAACTTTATGGACTGCCCTAGGTCCTCCCATAATTTCATGATATTTATCAGCTATCTCCATCATCTGTCTTTGGGATATTACAATGCATCTGACAGTTATATTCCTTCCCAGACATTTGTCAGTTGCACCACATTATTTTTCAATAACCTAAATACTTACTTATCACTAAGAACTCTTACAAATTCTCTACTAAGTTTAGTATGGAAGATTAGGAAGAATATTAATTTCTACCAATTGTTATAAGTCTTTAAAATCAACACTAATATCAAGTGACTACAATTCTGTGATACAGCTGACAAATTGGGAACAATCCCCCAGCCTGAGAGATCAAACAAGTAGTTCTTCTAACTTGCAGTTGCAATTACAACCCGTGCTATTCTCATATTGTAAGCGTGTTTTAAACCAGAGTTTAGTTCTTGAATGAACCTTTTACTGTTTCTACTCTAAACACTTTCCATTACTAATTTTCTTTTCTTGATAGAAAGCATTTATTTGGATTTCACTGATGAGGATGAAATTCATTCACTTTACAACTTTGCCAAGTCATTAAGCAAAACTTGTTTTAGATTTCACAAATAACTGGGGGACAGAACTATATCTTCACTCTGCATTTTGTAATCTGTCTCTGTCACTTTTCCCTTGATCTTTGGATGTAAGCATTTGCACTTAAGCTGCGACCTCTTTTGCTTTCTCAGAAGTTGTCTGTTTACACCATTTGTTGCTCCATTTTCCCTTCCATTGAGGAGTGCCTCTTTTTACTGTTTACAGTTGGCTGCACATAAAAGTTCAACTAAATCTCTGCATGGATGCTTGTGTATTTCATTTCACAACATTCATATGGGTATGTTTAATATGTCATGACAAGTACACAAAGAGTCTAGATTATTGTGGGATCATACTTTTCCTTCTACTTTTTACTAAATTTGGGACTGTCTAAATTTTTACACAAACTTGGCACTGTGACTAAACTAGGCCTTTCAAAGGTACACCTTATTAAAATGCTTGTACGTTTAGAACTGCCTGTTTACAGAAACCTGAGTAAATTCCCTAATGTTTCCATTCACCAGGATGCTTTGATGACCCCCACAGGACCTTTCATTATCTTGTCCAGTAACTCTGTACGGAGACCACAAGTCTGGCTGTGAACATCTGCTGAATGTAGCGGCCAACGTCTTTCGGCCATCTTGTGTCACCTAAAAAATCCCAGGTAGCCATCTTGTCAAAGTTAGTCATGGGCTGCCACAACAATGACTGCAGTGTCATTGCTTGGTCTGCACCAGATTAGCAAGCCACACTTATTCTCTTCAATTCTGCATTTGAGAGGTTCAGCTTGAATTTGAATGTTCCCAAAACAAAACTGATATTAACTCATACATGACCATGTCAGTCAAATATTCCACCTCCCATTTATCTTGAAGGAGAGACTCTGGAATATTCTGAGAGCTCCAAATACCTCCAACTACTTTTCTCAAAAGTCCAACATTGATGTGGAGATTCAACACCAGATCTGCCATGCCGGCTCTGCCTTCTACAAACTATGGCAATGTGTGTTTGACAACAAAGACCCCTGAAAATGAAGAAAAGTCCTAGGATTTAGTGAAGTTGTCATCCCCAAATTCCTGTACTGCAGTGAAACCTGGGTAGTGTATCAGTGACACATATGTGTTCTAGACAAATTCCGTCAGCAAAGTGACAACCACATCCTTTGGATTCAATGAGGAATCATTAAACAAATGACAGTGATCTTCTTGAAGCCACCTCCACAAGCATTTAAGAAAATGTTTGCAAGATCAACTATGATGGACTAGACATCGTGTCTCAAAGACGAAAAGGATTCTCAAATGGACAGTGTTCTGGGGAGGACAAAGAAAGTGCTTCAATGAAACTCTGCAACTCTCCTTGAGGCACAACAGCATTGATACTAATGAATGGGAGGCTCTTGCTACTGATCATTCCAAATGGTGACAACTTGCTCATCAAACTACATTAAGCTTTGTGTCCAAATGCCTTAATGATGAGGCAGAGTAGCATCAGAGAAGGAAAGAAAAGGAAGCAGATCATGTATTCTAGATCCTGACACACTGTGTGGCATCCTGGTCCGCTTGCCCAAAGGTTGCTAGGATGGGAATTGGTCTGTTCAGTCGGCAGAAACTCACAACACTGAGTTGAATCAAGGGATACCCAATGACAATGACAATAATCAGTATACCACTCTGACCCTTTTGCCATTGTTTCTAATTGTCCATTTGACCCATCAATATGCACATACTCTGTGCCTGTCTTGTTT